TTTGCCCCCCCCCCCCCAAGCACCAAGAATACAGAGCATCCCTTGCCCCAGACCGAGAGTTCCTGTCTATACCTTGTGGCTAATAACCACCATCATGATCTGGGCTCTTGCAAGCAAAGGCCTAGCAGGCCCAGGGAGCCTGAGTAGCAGTGGGAGGAGGCCAGGCCTAACAACTCCCAGAAGCCCCTGAGAGGTTTTGGCACCAAAATTAGCCAATCTCAGAGAAAGGGGACCTATAACAAAAGAGCTGGTACAGAAGAGCTGTTCTTTCTTCCAAGAGAGCAGGTCCAGAGGGAAGGGTGAGCAGACTGAGGCCCACTTGAGCCAGTGAGCTAGGGGCAGTAAATTTAGACGCATTGGGGCATTTGGTTTTGTTTCTTTTCACCCCCTTACTGATATTGTTCTTGCACCTTGTCTGTTTCCCATATTGGGCTGACCTCCTGTAAAAAGAAACCTTTTCCTTGTCCTCTGCCTGGTCCTCACGCCTATTATTCGGCCAAATAAGGGAGGTCTGGAGAGTGCTCTGGGCCTTCTCAAGGGATCCTAAAACCAGAGTGGTGGCAGCGTCAGGTGACACCCCTGAGCCGTGACAGCCACTGATGGACTTCTGCTCCATATGTGTATCCAATTGCCTCTTGAAGCCGCCACAACCTCCTGTGGCAGTGAATTCCACATGTTCATCACTCTTTGGGTGAAGAAGGGCTTCCTTTTATCCGTTCTAACCCGACCCGACCACTCAGCAATTTCATGGAGTGCCCACAAGTCCTTGTCTTGTGAGAAAGGGAGAAAAGGACTTCTTTCTCTACCTGCTCTATCCCAGGCATAATCTTGTATAATTTTGCCTTAACAAAGTCCACGTATGTGAAGAAGTGAACTGTGACCAATGTGTGGAATCTTGTGAGCAAAAATTCTACTTTGTGAGCTACTAGCATGAAAGTTGTGAGCAAGCCATTTGGCTACTGCATAAATTAAGTTTGCTCTAGAGCCACACTTCCTGAGCTAAAACAAAAAGCTGTGAGCTGGAAGCTAAAAAACTGTGAGCCAGCTCACACTAACTCAGCTTAGAGGGAACACTAGCTGTAACTCCCAAAAACTCCTCCCCGGCGGGGGAAAAGGGGGGGGGGGTTTCACATGTGGTGGCGGTGTGCAAAAAATACAGGATTTCTGGAAGATGATACAGAAGATAATCTTAAAAATAACAAATGTCAAAATTGAGTTGTCCCCGGAAATTGTACTGCTGAATATGATACCGGAGAGTTATAAATGGAAGAATACATGATAATTTATATACTTACAACTGCAAGAATTCTGTTAGCCAGATTTTGGAAACAAGAGTATATTCCTAAACAAGATGATCTAGTATGCAGATTATTAGAAATGGCGGAGATGGTCAAGTTAAGTCTAATCCTTCAAGGAAAGGACGAAAAAGTGTTTGCGGAAAGATGGAAGCGTTTATATGAGTGGATTAATTTAGGCTGATAATAGTGGACTCCAGGACAGTTATGAAGATGTATGTTTTACAGATATGTATTGTATGAAAAACAAAAATAAAGCTTTTTAAAAAAAAACCTCCTCCCCTGCCACAGGTTTTGTTAGACTTTAAGGTGCTGCTGGACTTATGCCCTTTTCTACCGCTAGTCGACTGGAGGGGGGGTCCATTTGGAGCTGCCCCCACCATCCTGGAGGGTCCCCACACCCTTGGGAAGCCAAGTTTGGAGGGGGTGAAGAGGCCCAATTAGAAAGGGGTATGCAATGCAAAAAGGGATCTTTGGAACACAGATCTGGGAACCCTCTCACCGGATCTATGCCCGGCGACCTAGGAAGCCCCGTTCAGGACAAAGGAAACAAGCCAAGCGAAGTTGAATTTTTTTTTTTTTAACTTTTATTTTATTAGGGTTTTAAAAAGGTATCTATTTCTCCAGCAGGTTAAGTCACATTTGAGGAATTGCGGGAGTTCAATTTCAGACAGGGGGGTGGGGGAGAAAAGACAGCTCTGCGTTTCCATTTGGAGCTGCCCCCACCATCCTGGAGGGTCCCCACACCCTTGGGAAGCCAAGTTTGGAGGGGGTGAAGAGGCCCAATTAGAAAGGGGTATGCAATGCAAAAAGGGATCTTTGGAACACAGATCTGGGAACCCTCTCACCGGATCTATGCCCGGCGACCTAGGAAGCCCCGTTCAGGACAAAGGAAACAAGCCAAGCGAAGTTGAATTTTTTTTTTTAACTTTTATTTTATTAGGGTTTTAAAAAGGTATCTATTTCTCCAGCAGGTTAAGTCACATTTGAGGAATTGCGGGAGTTCAATTTCAGACAGGGGGGTGGGGGAGAAAAGACAGCTCTGCGTTACTTCACTATAGCTCAAGTGTTTTTAATATTGAAATTGAAATTTTTTTAATAATATGCAAGCCAAAGCTCAGCTTCAATGCAGGATATATTATCTGTAATATCTTCCCCACATTCATGTTAAGTTTGGTTTACACATGGGGGGGGGGAGAGGAAGGTCACCGGTAGGCATTCACCCGACTCAAAAGGAAAACAGAACTCCCCCCCATTACGCCCCCCCCCCCCAAGCCCACCCATCTTGCCTT